CAAAACGCGATATGATAAAGCAATTTATCGACACTGAACTGTCAAACTCCATTGTAGTTTGACAGTTAATGTCGATAAATCGCTTTATCATATCGCGTTTTGTTACTCATGCTAGAGGGGCAGAATATGTTTTTTCCCATAACAGAGCTGTTCTCGAGTTTGGCATGCACAACCTTTTTTTTGTGACGAGGGGAAATGCAGTTACGCACCATACCGTGACGCTGACTAGGCGCACGGCGTGTGTGGGACTCGCCGGCACGGGAAACAGTGCCGACCCTACTCAAACAGGACCAGTGCGGAAGGCCACACTGATCCTACTCCACTAAAACCCCCGGTACCCTCCTACGCCCATATGGGGGCGTCTCGGGGCCGACGCACCTGCGTCAATCTCCGAGCACGGCATGCAGAACCTACTGATATCGCGTCTATTGCGATCTATAACATCTGCCATTCTAACGAAAAGATGCATGTTATCTTTCACATATAGTAAAACCTCAAAAATGTACATAGACGGAAGTGTCAGAATTTTATGTTTTAAGATATACGGTTTACAGCTGTCCGTTATTTTTAAACCAAACATTGCTCTTATGCATCTTTTCTGAATTTTAAATGCTGTGTCTTTATCAGTGGAATTCCCCCAGAAGATAATACCGTATCTCAGAATTCACGCAGCTAAACTATGATATGCGGTAAGCAAATCTGTGTTCTATAAAGAAGATAATTTAAATAACGCATAGGCCGCACTACTGACTTTCTTACTAAGGTATTATTCTATATGAGATTTCCAATTTAATCTACAATCAATCATAATACCTAGAAATTTGGCACTTTCTACTTCACATATGTCAAAATTTTGATAATCAATTTTTAGAGGGCGATCATTATTTATCCGTTGCTTAAATGTCATTAATTGGGTCTTTTCAAGATTTATTTTTAAGGTTTTCACGCACATCACTCATTAAATAAAACTAGTTTTTACGGGTTAATGCACGAAACTTTATTTATTTATTGACGTTTCGCAGCCTTTTCAGGTCTGCATCGTCAGAATAATGATTTTTTATTTAAAATTGTCGAGCTACCTTCGACCCCTCTCTCTCCACGCTCAATATAAGTCTTTCGAAGGTAGCTCGACAATTTAAAATAAAAAATCATTATTCTGACGATGCAGACCTGAAAAGGCTGCGAAACGTCAATAAATAAATAAAGTTTCGTGCATTAACCCGTAAAAACTAGTTTTATTTATTTTTAAATTATTATTATCTAAATACGAAATAACTGATGTCAAAGAATTTTAATGTCATATTCATAAATCTCAGGATCGTTACACGGAATAGTCAAAGTACTGTCGTCGGCAAAAAGAGTAATTGGACAATGCACTGATTTAGGTAGGTCATTTATATAAACATTGAAAAAGAATGGACCCAACGTTCTCCCTTGAGGCACTCCATATTTAACTATGCGCGTTTCTGAACAGTAATGTTCTTCTTAACCCGATTTAGGATTAATTTGTAAGATGACAGTATACTGTTTTCTATCGACTAAATAAATTTCAATTAATTTCAATATATTTCCCCTAATGCCATACGCGTCAAGTTTTTTTTAATAAAATCTCATGTTTTACGTGCTCATACCTGTGTCATGTCACATTATATTGCAGAAATAGGGTTTCTTTTGTCCATATTAGATATTACATTATTTAGAAATTCAAATAAAGCTTTGTTAATATTTTTATTTTGACGAAAACTATTTTAAAATATTTTTTCGTTCCAAATACATATACATTTCTTTATAAATATATTTTTCGTAAATTTTCGACATAACTGGATTAAGAGCAATCGGTCTATAGTTATTCATCAATAATCTGTTTCCTTTCTTGAAGAATGGTTTAACTATAGATGTTTTAAGCTTGTCTGGATATATACCAGAAGTCGATATGCCATCATGTTCCTCGCTTTTAGTGTTTGTCAAGTTCTTTATAATGAGTAAAATATCTTTTGGTACACTAGGTGCCATAAAAAAAAATCTCTTTAATTTCCTAAGGCCTCTACCTTATGTACTAGTGACCGATGCTGGAGTAATTCTGTCAATGAAGTAATTATTGAAATTATTAGCTATTTGTTCTGGATTACAAATCATTTCGTCTTTGTCATTGATTTGTAATATATGATCTTTAGGGATATTAAGCCTGATGTTATTTATAATTGACTAAGTAGATTTAGATTTACTTTTAGATTTTTTTTATAAGAAAATCGTTCCGTGCACGCTGCTTGAGTCGAATGATTTTCTTATACAATTTGTTATATTTAATGAATATCTCTTTATTAGTTTTTGTCGGCTTAAGTCTGTAATTCCATAGTAGGCGTCTTTTTTTCTTACTACATATTCTAACACCCTTGGAGACCAATTTAGGTTTCCTTGTAACAAATATGGTAATTTATTTAAATGGAAAGCAAAGATCATAAAACTTAAAATAATCCATGAAGGTAGAAAATGTAGCATTTGGATCATCTGTGTCGCATACTTCTGAGAACGTTATGAGGCAATCCCTTAATTTTGAAATATTTTCGATGCAAAAATCTCTATATTTCTTACGCCAAAATTTAATTACAGGTACTTTTTTTACTGGACAGGTTAATAGTTGAGTAGTGTAAGCTTACTCTAGCACCTCCGTCCTGCAAGTCTTTGGGAAGTTTTGAGCAAAATTATCAATACACGTTTTACTTAACAATCTAGTCTTAATTTGATTATAATTCAAAAGTAGACATTGAAACTCTAATGTCATAGTGTTTCTTTTTAAAACATCGATACTAAAATCACTCGCTATTATAATATTACTGAATATTTTCCTACTTAGGAGCGATAGTAATTGGTCCATCTTAGAGAAAAAAACATTCACATGTGCCGCTTTAGGAACCCTATAGACGCATACTATTGCAGTCCTATGTAGTACCAAATCCATTGCACAACACTCTAATATGCCCGCCAATGAAAGCTCTGCTACCTTGGGTAATGCCTTCCATTGATGGCACTTTTTAATTAAAATACATACTCCGCCTCGCTTAGAGTTTTTTCTGCTAAAGTGGGAAGCTAACTGGTAATTGGAGTCGGATAGAAATTTTTGATAGCCGGCCAGAATAAAGTGCTCCGTTGCACACACTACGTCAATATTTACATTCTTTTCAGAGTGTTCCTCTAAACAGACAACAAGTGAATCAGACTTGCTTAATAATCCAGCTATATTTTGATGTAAAATATTTATTTCATATTTTTATGAAGGACGTTAGAATTTTGTTCTGTCGTAAAGTCTTGCCTTGAGAAACTATGATCTACCTAGATGCTAAACTATATATACAGGGTGGCCGGGGAGTTGACGTTCAAACGTAAAATTTAGATACTTTATGATGAGGAGTATCCAAATCACCCCCATGTATGTTCTACGATTTTGCGTAGTTTTCGAGTTAAAATTTTTAATGTTTTTTTTCGTAATTTTCACTTAACATCAGATTTCGATTTTTTCCCTTCTGTTGGACGTTTCTGGTTCAGTTTTTTTGTGATAACTGACAAACATAGTCTAACCTAGCACCCTAAAACTTATGGTTTATCTAGGCATTGCAGAATTTACTTAGAATTTGTTCGAAAGTTCAAAATTACGATTTGAGCTCAGTACACACAAATTTTCAAAGTATCAAAAAAAATGTAAATGGGGGATTTTGAGAACAAAGTGCTTTTAAAAACTTCCTGAAACATTAAACTGCAAAACAAGGCCAAACAAAGATAGGGTTAATGTGGGTTTATTTTCTGTAACTGACCTTCAAAGTAAATTAAGGCATTTTCAAAGGAATTATTTTATTTTATTTAAATCTTTGACTTTCTATGAGTTATGATGGATTTGAGTAAAACGCAGTTAATTGTGAACAAAATACATTTATTTAAAGCAAATTATCAAAAATTTGCCCTCCCACAGAAATACACAATCTACATCTGCGCAAAAAATTATGTTTTAGGTGCCTAAAAGCTTCACAGTTATTTTTTAACAGTGGTTTCAGCTTTGTGAATTTTTGCTCTCAGTTCTTCTTCACTCGAAGCTTCTCTGGCGTACGCAATTTCTTTAAAGTAGCCCCAGATAAAAAAAATCAATAGGGTTGAGGTCAGGCGAGCGTGGTGGCCAGGCAATTGGCCCTTGTCGTCCGATCCACCTGTTGGGGTAGGTCTGGTCTAAATGGCGACGTACTTGTGTCGCGTAATGACATGGCGCTCCGTCGTTCTGGAATACCATCGTTCTTCTTAATTCAAGATTTACATGTTCCAGCAATATGGGTAGATTGTGTTCTAAAAAACTTTTGTATGTGTCGCCGTCTAATCTCGATGGCAGTTCAGATTTAACTCAAATCGTAATTTTGAACTTTCAAACAAATTTTAAGTGAATTCTGCAATGCCTAGATAAACCATAAGTTTTAGGGTGCTAGGTTAGACTATGTTAGTCAGTTATTACAAAAAAACTGAAACAGAAACGTCCAACAGAATGAGAAAAAAATCGAAAACGGATGTTAGGTGAAAATTACGAAAAAATCATTAAAAAAATTATAACTCGACAACTACGCAAAATCGTAGAACATACATGGGGGTGATTTGGATACTCCTCATCATAAAGTATCTAAATTTTACGCTTGAACGTCAACTCCCCGGCCACCCTGTATATATATATATATATATGTTTGTTTATATTTATATGTTTGTTAGTCTTTCACGCTCTAACAGCTTAAGTTTGATGTTAGAGCGTGAAAGAATAACAAACATCCGTACTAACTTTCGCATTTATAATATAAGTAGGATATCCGTTACTTATTTATAACCTGTTTAAAGCATAAGCTCTGCTTAGTTTGGAAACTAGGAAAAGAGTTGTTATTAAACAACTCATAAAATAGAACAAAATAACAAAAGGCGAAAAATAATTACTAACTAAAATAAAAAAAATATTTTTAACCTTTCTCTATCCACAGAAAAGTCAAAGAAAAATGATCGATACGGAACCCGACCCGTCTACAGCAAGACAACAGAGGGGCGAGAGAAATAGCAATTAAAATAGTGACATGTTTATTGAGCTTATTATATGTAAATACAATAAAATGTTTGTGGGCACACAGCGGCGTAGCGTGGGTGTTGGCCGCCCGGGGCGAAGGACAATTTTGCCGCCCTCTTATTTAAATGGTTGAAATATTTTTATTATTTAAAATTTTGCCGCCCCCTAAGAAGTGCCGCTCGGGGCAGACCGCCCCTGCCGCCTGCACTACGCTACGCCACTGTGCACAACAAAACCTAAAAAATTACCCCTTAATTATCTCCCCAATGAAAAATCATCGCTACTACTTTATAATTAACTTAATTTATGTACTTGTATTATAAGCCCTATCGCCCTTATTGATAAACGAAGACTACGCATGGATTAGTTACTCCATGTTTTGTCTCAGTCTTTTGAATGACAAATGGAATTTGAGTGACATGAAGAAAACACGGCGTAACTAGTCTAAGCTTATTCCTTGTTTTATTAAAGTTTGAAGGTTTTTAAGTACCTAATTGGTTTTGAAAAAAATATTAAGTTCAAATGTAGAACGCTTTCCAACAACAACCTATTTCTCATACCATGTTCAATAACAGGCACTAGGTATTCCAACAAGATTCGGCGCCAGCTCATAGAGCGAAGAGCATACAAGACTGGCTGGCGGCGCGTGAAATCGACTTCATCCGGCACGGCGATTACAAGATATGGCAACACTTGAAAGATAATATGAGATTTATCGAATTTATAATTTTAAATGGTGCTGATTACAACAACAACATTCTGGCATGCATAATTCTCTTAAGTAAATTTAACATTTAGTCACGCCTTTTTAATTCTGTATAGAGAAAGACAAAGATAGATTGTTGTCAATAAGCTTCAGAGAATTATGCAAGAATCGACACCACTGTATTGCCAATAAACAAACAAAAAAAATAGAAAGTCAATTATGGCGTCAATTCCGGCATGATTCTCTAAAGCTTAAATTTTTGACAACAATCTATCTTTGTCTTTCTCTATACAGAATTAAAAAGGCGTGACTAAATGTTAAATTTACTTAAGAGAATTATGCATGCCAGAATCGACACTTAATTATTGTTTATAATTTTTATGTGGCTATTTACCGGCATCGATATAAAGTACTTTTAAAACATATTATCGTATTCCAACGTCGAAAGAAAGATTTTGGTGTCGAATATGGAAGCGTTCTCTAAACTTAAATTTGACAAGTGTATCCTTGTCATCCTCTATACAGAATGAGATATTAATATTAAATAAAAACATAACTATAATTGCTATTTCTTCATTCAAATGTTTAATACTTGAAAAAGTATTCATTTGACATTGTGGGTTACCTACAATGCGAAGAGATGGCGCTGCTTTGCAGCTTAAGGCTAGGAAAATTTCGACTCGGCCAATAGGGCCGTGGTAGCATAATGGTCAGTGCATTCGCCCGGATAGCGAAGGGTGCGGGTTCGAGTCGCGTCCGCTGCCTGGTCCGCGTGGATTTTTTTCTAGTAAACTTTTCTTTACATTTAAACATCTAGCAGTTAAATGCTTAAAAATAAATAAAAACATAACTATAATCGCTATTTCTTCATTCAAATGTTTAATACTTGAAAAAGTATTCATTTGACATTGTGGGTTACCTACAATGCGAAGAGATGGCGCTGCTTTGCAACTTAAGGCTAGAAAAATTTCGACGCGGCCAATAGGGCCGTGGTAGCATAATGGTCAGTGCATTCGCCCGGATTGCGAAGGGTGCGGGTTCGAGTCCCGTCCGCTGCCTGGTCTGCGTGGATTTTTTTTCTAGTAAACTTTTCTTTAGATACTAATATTTAGTTTAAAGCTAAGAGAACCAGGATGAATCGATGCCTTTGTTTGGTTAAGTTATAGATCGTGAATGATTGAATAGTTGTTTTTTTTATAAGATCTGTCGATGTATATTTGTTTTATCAACATGCTATTTGTATCGACAGATACACTTAATTAAATCTGGTTGAATGTATTCCAGTATAAAAAATACCATTGATTCATTTCATTCATTTTTCGTCACATCACTATGAATTTCTACCTATTATTTTTGTCATTCATTCGTGATTTCGGGCCTTTTATTTAATTGAATTTTATACCAGATTACTAACTTTTTAGAACTTAAAAATACTTGTATATGTTAGGAAACACCATGTTTCAGCAAGATTGAAGTGGCAGATCGGTTTTTGCTTGGGAAAACAACATAATTTTCCATTTTTGTGGGAGCTCCGACTCACTCTGCGGAAAGATCTAAAGTGGTAGCAGTTTCGCGTGAACTAGTTTTATATAACGATCATGACCACTGGCCATGATTGTTTTGGCGGAGGGGTACGCCCGTCCATGCTCTCTCCAGGTATGAATAATGCTCTAAGCCCTAAGCGAAGCAAGAAACGAAATTACGGTAGCAAAGGAATTTCAAACGAAATTTCGCCAGTGACTACTCTATGAAATAGAAAGTTTCGAAGACACACGTAAAGTTGTTTCCATCATCAAAGTAAGCTGCGTTATTCAAAGCTCCCTGATATTTGACAAAAAAGTGCAAACATTTCTGTCTATTTTCATAATAACGTCACCCCAAGTTAATTACTAAACAGTGAAATAGCTAAAAGTGTATTTAAAATATATAATTTGAGAATTTAAGGAATATTTTTTCCATATTAAACTCAGTATAAGCGGCCTACTGACATGCCTGCCCTAGGGACAATCTAGGGTGTAAGAGTGGGGATAACCCTTAATTGCCTCCTGAATAGGCTAGTTGACCCTTTTTAGAAAAAGGTTTTAAATGGTTAATAAATGTTCTATTAGACCGAAAACAAATGTATTGTATTTTTTTTAAACCTAGAAAGCTACAAATCTTTAATTTTAAAATAGACTTGTCATGGACATACAAAAACGCTGTCGGCCATTTTAGTCTATAGATTATCTATGCTATGACGTGAACTGTGGTAAACAAAAACTCGTAAACACGTAGAAAATTACTTAAAACTGAGTTTATAATAAAAAAAACATGATTTCTAATAAATACCACGAAAAATAAAGTAATTATCATTACTGTATTGTACGAGAATATAAAAACACATCCTTGAAGACTCCAGGAAAGTTGTGGATTAAAGTACCGAAAGAAATTAACCTATGCAACTTTATTACACTTATTCATATGTTGTATCAGTTTTATGTTTATTACTACATTGTAATACTAAATGCACTGTACTTACATAGATGCCTTGTCGTTTCTCTGCTCCGCAGAGCAGAAATCGGGGTTTAGTGCAACAAATTCACCAACCATCAATGCGTCAATTCTTGGCAGATTTGTGCTTTCTGCTTTTACAAAGCCGGCAACCATAATTAGTTTTGTCAAAAAAAACTAAGTTTACTGTTTATTTCTTTCCTAGAGTTAAAAGTGTTTTAAGATAAAATTAGTCAGACGAAAGAATCCACCTACAGTAACACGCGAATGACATTTAGTTGTTTACCACAAGAGACGTCAAAATCATGGCGGATGTGGCGAACAGCGTTTTTAGTGTTTAAAAAATATAGACTAAAAAATATTTTTTTAAATTAAATTTCTACAGCAATCTTCTGCTTTTATGAAGTGAAATCGGTATATTTAGGTTCCTTAGACCAAATACTTTAAGAAATAAATATTTATTTAATACAATTCGACATGAGTAAACTAGCCTATTGTGATGTGTTAGGCAAGCAGGGGCAATTTTCGAAATCGGGCCTGCACAGGGCGGCAAATTTTTTACACAGCAATATATTTTTGCAAAAAAACATCTTTGAATTTTGTGCAAAAAAATCATAAGTACTAAAACTATAAATAAGCTTTTAGATAGATATATATAAATGAAACATTTTGTTTTCATTATAAACATTATATTCATTCATCAAGAACTGTTCATTCAAATATCGTTCATTCTTTTAATGTCGCATCCCTAATTTTGTGTTGGTGTACGCTCGAACAATTGCATAGTTACATAAAAATTGTTCGCATGTGTGCGTTTTTTTGTTTGTGTGATGTAATTTTAGAAGTGTGCGTTTATAGCAACAACACGTTCGTGTTTGTGGGAGTATTGTATATTTTCATTAGTATGCTATACGTGTGTACTTCTTCCCGTGCCAAAAATGGTGAAAAGTTTTGTTCGGCGAGTGAACGGTATGGCGCAGGGCGTCTCCAGTGGTTAATTAATATGACTTTAAACTAGGCTGTATGGGCTTTGTTCCCTTTGCCATCCCTAAAAAGGGAGAATTTTAAAAAAAGTACAGACGTTCAGTTCAGTGCTGCCATTTTAGCGCTTTGAGCGCTAGATCTAGCGCTTTTCTGTTTTGCTTAGCGACTATTTCAAAATTTTAGCGCCTATCGGATAATCTGGCGCTTTTTCATTTATATCATTGTGTAACACTATTATCGATAATTGGAAAGCCCCTCTAATATTTTTTTATGGCAGAACTACACTTCTCTGTTGTCTTGTGTTGTGTCGCGTCAGAGAGGTTTCGGTTTCATACATTTAGTTCGGTTAGAACTATACTTGTGTGTCGCGATGTTTCGACACCTTTCTCATTCTAACCGTACTACTAGATGTATGAAACCGATATATCTCTGATGCGTCACATCACAACACAACACGGTCAACACGACGGATAAGTCGTTATATTTCTGCCATTGGTTCACATGGTTTCGTTTTCATTCATTCATGTTTAAATTTTGGTGGAAGATAAAAAGAAATCATGTAGTAAGACATTCTGCGACAGATTAGGATTGGGACATATGAAAAATATTGTAAGACAAAAAATACATAAATCGCCAGAATGAAGCTGGCCCTATTTCAGCTATGGAAGATTGATTTTGAATTTAGATTTTAAATACATTAATTTTGACGTTTTGGTTGATTTTTGTCTGGTTTTTATTAATAACAAAACTTAAATTACTTTAGGGCATAATCTAACGCTTTTTTCTTGAAATCTAGCGCTTTTATATCATTTTAGCGCTCAATCGGATTTTTGATCTGGCACTGGCAGCCAGTGCTGCCAATTTAGCATATTTATGGCTAAATTTAGCATATTTTTTAGTGATTTAGCATAAAAAAAACATTTTAGTTAGCTTATTTTTACCGCGGCGCCCTGTTTTATCAACTTTTGTTTGTTCAGCCATCTAGCGATTAAAAAATGTCACACTTGTTGCTACTTCCCTGTCGTTCAAAAACTATTTTACCTATGCGACGGGAATGCTCGAATTAAAAACAGATGAATGAATTGTTATTTTATGACTAAGCCAACTAATATGAGAATCGTTAATTATCATGTTAGTTAGTTGGCTGGCTGGCAAACAAACAATATATTTACACGTGTAGTAGTGGTAATTTTGTATTGTACTGTTTCTAATATTATTTTAACAATGACTGCGAAATATACTCGGCATAAACGTTTAAAGAATGGCTGTATTACTAATTAACATTAAAATTAATTTAACTTTTATAATTGTGTTGTTACTAATTGGCACTAATATATTACATTTTATCACATATATTACAGTTAGATTCTTATATAAAAAATATCGGTAATGGACATTTTATATTTTGGCACCTTTTTTTAATGTTACCATTTTTTGTCATTTTATTAACATCGATTTAGCATGAAATATTTTTTGGAGTTGGCAGCACTGCTGACAGCTCTGTTTAACTAGTCTGTGGGGTACAGTCTCTGAATAAGGAAGAGGGTACAGTGAACGAAACCTAGTCAAGTTTTTACATTTCAGGCGGCATTTATCTCTTAACATTATAACTGTATTCTATACTTATCTATTGTTGTTTTGTCTCAGTGTTGCGCAATTACCTATTCGTTGGTAAGGCAATGTGAGTTATGCGTTTTCCATTCAGGCCTTACGTAGTGTGCAGACTTTTGCAGTCAAAGAATAATATCCAGTTTAGGCACCCATTCACAACAGGTATGTGTAGACACGGGTTTTCTCAGTTCGTACTTATATGTATGTGTAGATATTTAAACGCGGAAACACTGCTAACGCACACAGTTTTCTTGGATCCATGCCAAAAAATAGACGAACATTTAAGCAATACATTTATTCATACAGCGCTGGTCTGGAGAGCGATGGAGGACAAAGAGTCACTGAAGAAGCGTTTGACACCTATCCAGTATCATGTTACTCAAGAAGCTGGGACAGAGAGGCCCTTTACAGGTAAAAGTAAAATCTAAATCAAATGTAAATATCTTTTTTCTACAATAAGTTAATTAAAATTTGAAATTGTTGCAAGATGGGTATTCACTTTTAAAAATCGTTTTATTTTGTTTAAAGAAGAATAATACAAAGTATAAATATTTATCTTCTTTAGTATTCAGTTACATACCAATACACAGTGTGAGATTTTGCCTTGGTTCCGGTCATGTTCATTTTATATACCCATTTGATGGATCTAAGTAAGAACTAAAACTTTCACAAAGAAACCATAGGCTTGTTCCGTTTAGTTATGAAGATATTTTAAAAGTCGAGAAAATCCCATAGAAACCATAGAAATGCATTATATCTCTTACCGTACATTTTTTTTTTACAATAGTGGTATAGTATTAAAGACAACCAATTTAAGTATCAGTACATGAAAAAAAAAATTAATTCGGATACATCTAGGCAAAGAACTAATTATTTTTCTCAAATATAGAAAAATATTTTTTTCTCCAAATTCATCATATTAGCATTTATTTTTAAAATCGAATGATGCCTAATAATGTTTAACAGCAGCACAAAAAAAATCTAGTGTTTGAACTAGAACCTCAGGATCTCCGAGATATGAATTTTTAAAATTATAAGTTAGGGTTGTCAATTTTATTATAGTATGGGTGTGTAATTTGTCAATTAATAATATCTCAAAAAAAAAAATCTTTAGATTTAAAATATCTAGCAGTCAAATGCTTAAAATAAAAATATAATGAATGAAGTATCTTACTTATATATATGCTCATTAACTTTTAGCAAGCATAAGTTGTAAATTTTTTTTTTCTACTCTTAAATACTTCTCTGCTGTACTGAGTATAAATAAGATACATTCAACTGCTTATCTATCATCCCGCGAATACCCTAACAGTCTACTAAGTGAAATTGAATTCTTTAACATGATTGTGTTGATAACCTGTCACCATATCTATTTGAGTGTTAACCACTGCAAGTAGTGTGATTAGACTTGATTGACATTCAATATTAATGAAACTGAAACTAGCAGCCGACATTCTCGAGACAATTTTTTTTTTTCAACTAAAGTATTAGAGTATCTTGGCTGAAATAACACCCACTATTTCTTCACCCTAAAAAGAAGTTCTGGGAAAAATTTCATCAATTTCGTATGTGTAGGAGATGAGATAAAGCTTTTTTAAAAAATAAAAAATCTTTCTCCTGAGAGAAAATATTTTTTTACAACTAAACTATTAGAGTATCTTGGCTGAAATTACTTCCACTATTTCTTCACCCTAAAAAGAAGTATTGAGGAACATTTCAGCAATTTCGTATGTCTAGGAGATGAGATACAGCTTTTTAAAAAAAAAATATTCTACTGAGAAATTATTTTTTTACAACTAAACTATTAGAGTATCTTGGCAGAAATTACTTCCACTATTTCTTCACCCTAAAAAGAAGTTTTGTGGAAAATTTCAGCATGTTCGTATGTCTAGGAGATGAAATTCAGGTTTTTAAACAAAAAAAAATATTCTCCTGAGAAAATTTTTTTACTACTAAACTATTAGAGTATCTTGGCTGAAATTACTTCCACTGTTTCTTCACCCTAAAAAGAAGTTTTGAAGAAAATTTCAGCAATATCGTATGTCTAGGAGATGAGATACAGCTTTTTAAACAAAAAAAAAATATTTTCCCGAGAAAATATTTTTTTACAACTAAACTATTAGAGTATCTTGGCTGAAATTACTTCCACTGTTTCTTCACCCTAAAAAGAAGTTTTGAAGAAAATTTCAGCAATTTCGTATGTCTAGGAGATGAGATACAGCTTTATAAACAAAAAAAAAATATTATCCTGAGAAAATATTTTTTTAAAACTAAACTTTTAGAGTATCTTGGCTGAAATTACTTCCACTGTTTCTTCACCCTAAAAAGAAGTTTTGAAGAAAATTTCAGCAATATCGTATGTCTAGGAGATGAGATACAGGTTTTTAAACAAAAAAAAAATCTGAGAAAATATTTTTTTACAACTAAACTATGAGAGTATCTTGGCTGAAATTACTTCCGGTATTTCTTCACCTTAAAAAGAAGTTTTCAGGAAAATTTCAGCATGTTCGTATGTCTAGGAGACGAGATACAGCTTTTTAAACAAAAAAAAATATTCTCCTAAGAAAATATTTTTTTACTACTAAACTATTAGAGTATTTTGGCTGAAATTACTTCCACTGTTTCTTCACCCTAAAAAGAAGTTTTGAAGAAAATTTCAGCAATTACGTATGTCTAGGAGATGAGATACAGCTTTTTAAACAAAAAAATATTCTCCCGAGAAAATATTTTTTTACAACTAAACTTTTAGAGTATCTTGGCTGAAATTACTTCCACTGTTTCTTCAGCCTAAAAAGAAGTTTTGAAGATAATTTCAGCAATATCGTATGTCTAGGAGATCAGATACAGCGTTTTAAACAAAAAAAAAATATTCTCCTGAGAAAAATTTTTTTTTGAAACTAAACTTTTAGAGTATCTTGGCTGAAATTACTTCCACTGTTTCTTCACCCTAAAAAGAAGTTTTGAAGAAAATTTCAGCAATATCGTATGTCTAGGAGACGAGATACAGCTTTTTAAACAAAAAAATATTCTCCCGAGAAAAAATTTTTTTACAACTAAACTATTAGAGTATCTTGGCTGAATTTACTTCCACTATTTCTGCACCCTAAAAAAAAGTTTTGAGGAAAATCTCAGCAAGTTCGTATGTCTAGGAGATGAGATACAGCTTTTAAAAAAAAAAAATATTCTCCCGAGAAAATATTTTTTACAACTAAACTGTTAGAGTATCTTGGCTGAAATTACTTCCACTATATCTTCACCCTAAAAAGAAGTAGTGAGGAAAATTTCAGCAATATCGTATGTCTAGGAGATGAGATACAGCTTTTTAAACAAAAAAAAATATTCTCCAGAGAAAATATTTTTTTACAACTAAACTATTAGAGTATCTTGGCTGAAATTACTTCCACTATCAGTCAAGATACTCTAAAAGTTTAGTTGTAAAAAAATATGTTCTCGGGAGAATATTTTTTTGTTTAAAAAGCTGTATCTCATCTCCTAGACATACGAAATTGCTGAAATTTTCTTCAAAACTTCTTTTTAAGGTGAAAAAACAGTGGAAGTAATTTCAGCCAAGATACTCTAATAGTTAAGTTGTAAAAAAATATTTTCTCGGGAGAATATTTTTTTTTGTTTAAAAAGCTGTATCTCATCTCCTAGACATACGATATTGCTGAAATTTTCTTCAAAACTTCTTTTTAGGGTGAAGAAACAGTGGAAGTAATTTCAGCCAAGATACTCTAAAAGTTTGGTTTTAAAAAATATTTTCTCAGGAGATTTTTTTTTTATGTTTAAAAAGGTGTATCTCATCTCCTAGACATACGAAATTGCTGAAATTTTCTTCAAAACTTCTTTTTAGGGTGAAGAAATAGTCGAAGTAATTTCAGCCAAGATACTCTAAAAGTTTAGTTGTAAAAAAATATTTTCTCGGGAGAATATTTTTTTGTTTAAAAAGCTGTATCTCATCTCCTAGACATACGAAATTGCTGAAATTTTATTCAAAACTTCTTTTTAGGGTGAAGATATAGTGGAAGTAATTTCAGCCAAGATACTCTAACAGTTTAGTTGTAAAAAAATATTTTCTCGGGAGAATATTTTTTTTTGTTTAAAATGCTGTATCTCATCTCCTAGACATACGAACTTGCTGAGATTTTCCTCAAAACTTCTTTTTAGGGTGAAGAAATAGTGGAAGTAAATTCAGCCAAGATACTCTAATAGTTTAGTTGTAAAAAAATATTTTCTCGGGAGAATATTTTTTTGTTTAAAAAGCTGTATCTCATCTCCTAGACATACGATATTGCTGAAAATTTCTTCAAAACTTCTTTTTAGGGTGAAGAAACAGTGGAAGTAATTTCAGCCAAGATACTCCAAAAATTTAGTTTCAAAAAAATTTTTTTCTCAGGAGAATTTTTTTTTTGTTTAAAACGCTGTATCTCATCTCCTAGACATACGAAATTGCTGAAATTTTCTTCAAAACTTCTTTTTAGGGTGAAAAAACAGTGCAAGTAATTTCAGCCAAGATACTCTAATAGTTTTGTTGTAAAAAATATTTTCTCGGGAGAATATTTTTTTGTTTATAAAAAGCTGTATCTCATCTCCTAGACATACGATATTGCTGAAATTTTCTTCAAAACTTCTTTTTAGGGTGAAGAAACAGTGGAAGTAATTTCAGCCAAGATACTGTAAAAGTTTAGTTTCAAAAAAATTTTTTTCTCAGGAGAATATTTTTTTTTGTTTAAAATGCTGTATCTCATCTCCTAGACATATGAACTTGCTGAAATTTTCCTCAAAACTTCTTTTTAGGGTGAAGAAACAGTGGAAGTACTTTCAGCCTAGATACTTTAAAAGTTTAGTTGTAAAAAAATATTTTCTCGGGAGAATATTTTTTTGTTTAAAAAGCTGTATCTCATCTCCTAGACATACGAAATTGCTGAAATTTTCTTCAAAACTTCTTTTTAAGGTGAAAAAACAGTGGAAGTAATTTCAGCCAAGATACTCTAATAGTTTAGTTGTAAAAAAATATTTTCTCGGGAGAATATTTTTTTGTTTAAAAAGCTGTATCTCATCTCCTAGACATACGAAATTGCTGAAATTTTCTTCAAAACTTATTTTTAGGGTGAAGAAACAGTGGAAGTAATTTCAGCCAAGATACTCTCATAGTTTAGTTGTAAAAAAATATTTTCTCAGATTTTTTTTTTGTTTAAAAAGCTGTATCTCATCTCCTAGACATACGATATTGCTGAAATTTTCCCCAGAACTTCTTTTTAGGGTGAAGAAATAGTGGGTGTAATGTCAGCCAAGATACTCTAATAGTTTAGTTGAAAAAAAAAAATTTTTGTCTCAAGAGAATGTCGGCTGCTAGTTTCAGTTTCAACAATTTATTAAAATTATATTTTTAGCAGAGGAGATAAAGGTAC